ATTATATTGTTACCAAAAACGCTCAGCGCTCCCCACAGTCCACATTCATAGAGAAAGCCGCTGACTTTATTTTTTTTTTCTCCATCTCATTTATTCTTAAGCCGGTTCCTCAGCCATAAATCTTCCTCAGGCTTTAATCCTCTATTGATTCCCAAAGTTGTTAAGTAGCATTTTAGTTGCTGGGACCGTTCTAGCAGGAGACAGCAACAAATGAACTGAATTGATTCTTTTTGAATTACAAATAGGTGTTTATTGTTGGAGGTTGTAGCACATCATCTGCAATGTGCAGTTTCTTCCAAGGCGGTCTTTAAAAAAACCGTCTTATGTTGGCCGATTCCTGTAATCAGCCAACATGAAGACGCACTTTAAGCTAAAAGTGTTATCAGTGCCTTCAGCTTACTGCAATTAGCTGCCAGCCTGACTTGTCAGCCTTATGTTTTTGTTTGACAGGAGTCAATTTATCAGAGCTTGTTTGCTGGGAAAAGGCTCTCTGTAACCCCTGGAAATGGATTTAATGAGAACACTGTAACCCATCCTGACAGTAAAAGCAAAACAATATTTCCTTAAAAGCCAAAATCACTCAATGTGCTGCCCAGTTGAGTGAAATTTGTTGTTTCATCTTTGACCTCTTTTAAAAATCCGCTCCAGTGTTAATCTAAAATCTATTGATTCGCTGAGCTGCAGATAATGACAGAAAACAGTATGTGTAATTGGTTCATTTCAGCTCCCGGAAGGTCAGCGCTCTCAAAGCTGCCACTCTGTTTGCCGATGCGGCCGTTGCGTTTAATGATCAAAGACGTCGGCTCTCTGCTGCCATCAGACTTCCAGTCCAGTTAAATAGAAATGCTCTTTTCTTTTGGCAGCAGACCACCCAATCTATCCCCTAGTGAATTTTTGACAGCTTCCCCCCTAGACCAACTTCCCAACACTTGTGCCTGAAGGTGACAGGCGCATCACCATTATTTACCCTCCTACCGCCACCCGCAGTATCAGCAACTGGCTTAAAGGTCAGCAGGCTGAGTATGTCTGCACTTCAGCCGTAGGGGCTTACTGTTTTTTTTTTTTTTTTTTCTCCCAGCCCGCCTCAACATTTTTACTTCCTGGGAATCTGATGCCAGCAGAAGCAACATGAAGGGATTCAATGGAATATTGTGTCTCACTCAAGTCACTTTAATTAACAATAAATTCCATGTGGAATCTTAATTCAGCTGCTTTAAGTGGACAGTTGGAGAAAACAGTTCACTTTGTTTCGTGGTATGAGGGCCTCTAGATGGGGGCCCAACAGGAAGGAAGACATTCCAGCTCCAAGGAATTCCAGCTGCTGTAGACAAACTGGTAAAAGAAAACATAATCAAATCTTATTGTATTTGTTCAGAAAATTATGTTTTATACATTTATTTTAATTTGAAGAGATAAAAACGCAGTTTTAATTCCTCACTTGGATCCCTCTAACTAAAGTACAATTGGCTTTAATATTCATCCAGATCTTTTTTTAAATTATTTTTTAATATATCCTTCTCTCTTGATTCATAGTTTATGCAATTTCAAACCACTTTTGTTTAAACCTTGGAAGGAGTTTGATAGGCTTTGTATACAGTCAAAGCAGTTCTGAGCTCTGCTAAATCATAAAGATTTTTTAATGACTGCAATGTAAGACTACTTTAATGGGTGGATGGAAATAATCAGATAGTTATAATTCCAATAGCTTTCTTCTCCCCTCTAACAGAATTTAGAGACAAGAATCTACAATTTACTTTGTGAGATGAAAGGAAAAAGTGATGAGTAGTACTGCTTCTGAAAAAAGAAAAAAAAGTTTTGTTTTGGTAGCCGGCACTCAAAATCAAACAGCTACTTTGATATGTAAAAAAAAAAAAAAAAAACAGACCTTAGGAGACAGAAAAAATATTGCATTCTTTTGCTAAAATATTACTTTGTTTCATAATAAGCTCATCTGGAAGCCTGCAGGGAGTGTGTACTCAGAGGAGCAGCTGTGAATTACATTTCATCTGTACCTTTATGTGTGCATGGCCCCATAATTATTTTACCTTTGGTTCAAAAACTGGGAAGTCCGTTCATTTGTGGGATCTAGCATCACTTAGCATGAACAAATATGGTCAATGTCTTAAATTAGCTATTTATTATTGGAGATCTGAAGTTTGGTCCAGTGGAATAGAAGTACTAATGTTTGAGATTTGACAATTTATCAGAGCCTCCTTTCTAACAACAGAGAGAAAAACACAGCTTCAAATAAGGATGATTGTGCCCATGACTGCAAGTAGAATAGTAACTCTACTAAAGATAACAGAGACCCATTCATAAGGCATGACATCAAAGCGTGGCAGGTTACTTATGCAAACATTTAGCTTTAGATCTTTAATTCAAGCTTTAACTGGATGGCTGCCATAATTATGACCAAGAGTAATAGTGTTGCAACATGTTATTCACTTGCAAATTAACCTCTGCTAAATGATCCTCTAAAGCGAGTTTACTTCAAATCTTTAAGATAAATAACTGGAGAAATGCAGAGGTTGAACGTATCCAAAAGCAGATGCAGACAAGCCACTCCGTAAAACTGAACTCCTTATTCTTATTCTAATAAAATAAAGAAATAAAAATACAGATAGCAATCCAATAACAACAAAGGGGGAAGGAAAAAACTCAACATGCTGACTTCAACGGAACAAAAGCCTGACAAATGTACATACTGAGGTGGATAAGGAATTGAGATAATGTGTGACATGGAAAAACATCTAAATGCTTAAATATGGCTGACATTTGAAAAGACTTCCATATGAAGAAGACGTCAGAAAATATTAATGCTATCACAATATGAATGAAGTAAACAAAGCCTCTACATAATTGAGGAGTTAGCTAATGGGAGTGTCAAGACAAATCTTGCAAAAAAAAAAAAAAAAAAATCAAACAACTGCACTCAAAACATGCAGTACAGTGACATCCTCAAGGAGTCAGCTAAAAGCTAGCACACAGCGCTAACAGAAGCGCAGTCCTTCTGTTAGCACCTTCTGCTAACAGAAGGCGCTGACAGGCACAGACGAACCATTGGTTTGTCCTTGCCAAGCAACTGCAAGGACGTTATTATCAACACACAATGTTCATGTCTAAAACAAGCTTTGCTGTCATTTCAGCGTTATTTGGAGCTTACCACTTTGCTGTATACCTCGTTTCCATAGAGAGAAGGAACTGATGCCTCAATTAGACAAAGTCTTTTGGAAAACCCTTCTTTATACTAGCAGAGGTTGCTGAGGAATTTCCCCATCAAAAATGCCATACAGAAAAATTAACAGACTGAAAATATAACCGAAAAAAAAAAATAAAGTTGTCTACGCAGCACCAGGAGAGAATACATTAAAATTATTTTTGCAATATTAGAGACTCAAAGTACACAAAATAATATAAATAAGGGCTAAAAAAGTGGATTATTCATGACAGGTTTCCTTTAAACTGCAAAACTGGATTTTCAAGGTTTTGCACTGAACAGCTGGAAGTAATCCAGATTTTTTAAATGCTTGAGTGAAAACATCTTGGCTTCATGCTGCAAAAAAACTGGTAGATTAAAAAACTGTTGATGTATAGACTGAAATTCACTTGTATTAAAACTGCACAGCTTTGCTCTAGATGGGGGGAAACATGGATCCTCAGAGACTCTCCTTCATCCTGCCTGCAAGCACTGAATCATCAGTTGTTTCCCTGTGAAGAAAGAAAACAGAAAGTTTGTTAAGTCACAGTGTTTCATGTGGGACTAAAGGCACATATACCCGAGGCATTACAACCCTGCTGTCTTCAGCATGAGTCAACTTCAGTGACTCACAGTGACTGATGCTCTTCTCTCTAGATGACGTGACGCAGAGTAACCTCAGAATTGAGAGGGCAGTGATAAGTGCAGACTTTACCAGACATGTTGGTAGACTCTGAGAATAGGATGGAAATGAAATGGCTGTTGTAAATACTTTCTTCCAGAAGAGGCAGGAACATTGGGTGACTTATAAGAGTGCCAGCAGGGGAACAAAGGTGGACAACAGTTTACGTAGACGTGGAAATCTGAAGGAGATGAGTATAGATAGACCGCATTGGATGGTGATTTGGTGGTAGATGGTAAAAAAAGAAGAATGATGAGGGGTTTTCAAGAAGGAGTTGAGACTATGTCACAGTATGGACTGCCCCCAGGATCATGTCATTTTAATGTGACTTTGGTGCTCATACAATGCACAAACAACACATAAAGTACATAAAGTTTACACATCTGATAACGTCAAAACATCATGCGTCATTATCATGTAAACAACGGAGTGGGACATTGACAGGACTGAGGTCAGAGAGATAGTTCATGGTGAAGGCAGATGCATCTCTAAGCTTCTTCTTGTTTGCTTTGGTGATGGACAGACTGACAGATGAGGTTGTTTGCAGATGAACAGAAAGGTGCAGAGACACTGAGAGTGAGGAGAAGACAGGAAGCAGAACTGAAGGTTGAAGATGTTGAGATTCTCTTTGGGAGAAACAGATGGACAGCTCATGTTAGATGTTTAGGAGTTAAAGTCAGAGGGACCAGACTGAGATGGCTTGGACATGTTCAGAGGAGAGACAATGATTATATTGGTAGAAGGACGAAGCCAGGAGACCAAAGGTAGATTTATGAACCTAGGAGACGATGAAGTTAGTTGGTGTGAGGGTAGAAGATAGGGAGAAGTGGACTGACTGGAGGCAGATGATTCGCTGTGGTGACCCCGGAAGGGAAAAACCAAAAGAGAAGAGAAATAGTTTCATAGTCAGTCTCTTTATTTATATATAAATTCAGGATTAAATATTGTTTAAAAGATAAGATCCACTCATTCAACTACTCATTCACTGATCTGCGAGTCAGTGGTCCTTTCAATCGAGAAGCCTTTCCTTCTGCTTCTGCTCACAAGCATGACCCACAAGAGAAGTGACTGCATTACTGCAGATTACGTTCTGATATTTATTCAACTGAACTGATCCATCCATCCATCCATCCATCCATCCATCCATCCATCCATCCATCCATCCATCCATCCATCCATCCATCCATCCATGATTCTATTTAGTCACTCCACTGCCAGCTTTGCAGCAGGATGTGGAGTGGGTCAGATTTCTCATTCTTAGCCCATTTGCTCCTCTACATACGTCTTCCTCTATCTAAACTTCCAGCTATGGATCTATCCATTCTCAGTTCTCCTCATTCTTTAGGTCAGAGGTTCCCAAACGGTGGGGCGCACCCCTTGGGGGGCGCCGTGCCATTGCAGGGGGCACGCGGGAAGCCGTCTGAAAAAACAAAAGAATAAAAACAAAAACATGAACGCTGTATGCACTGGGTTTTTACCTTTGAGTGGCCAACTCTCTGTTATTCCTATGTGAATTTGATACAGTAGGGGCTTCCACACTTCCTGTGTCCTCTGTCACTTTTATCAGCAGTTAAAACTGTTTAATCCGTTAACATGTCATAACCTGTTTTTCCGAGCCGCCTTTAAACGCAACATGAGCGCTACGGCGCTGGGTTTCCACCTGTGAAGGAGACCTGCTGCTGCTGGGCGGAGCTACGTAGGTTTGTGTTAGAATCACGGCAGCAAACCAGCAAAACGCAAAGAACTTTTCACAGTTTTTCCCCCAAACAGACTGTTGAGTAAAGCTGTTGGATGCAGGTAATGTTAGCTAAAAGATGACTAGCTAATGTTAGCTAAAAGATGACTAGCTAATATCAATACAGAACCTTAAGCTTAACAAGTACCTTGTAGGCTACCGATGTTGGTGTCTATTTTCAGCTACGTACATTCATTTTGCCCCCAAAAAAGTAGATCCCCCACCCCCTCCGCCCCCAGAGAGAAGGAGTCTCTAAGAATCCTCCCCCCTCTCGCTAACACACGTCATTCAACCAGAAAGCTATTTGTAATCAATGGGGGGAGTGGGGGTAGCAAATGTTTGGAAACCACTGGGGGGGCCCAGGAGAAAAAGTTTGGGAACCACTGTATTAATGTATTAAATACTGCTGTTGGCCAGTTTATGAGAGATGGGCGCGAGGTACTGAACCCGCTGTGATGAACCTGATTACTGATTAGTTCATATTCTGATTCACACAGATAAACGACGTTTCATCTCATCCTGTCTCCTGGCCCTTATTCACACAAAGCAGAACTGATTTATACTGAACGATCACGATTATTGATCGCACAAAAAGCTTCACTTCACTTGTCTACAGTCTTGTTGCTCTTATGTCCTATGACCACTTTAGATTTTTTATTTCAGTTCAGTAAATCTATTATTTAATATTTAATTAAAAAAAACTCTAATGAATATTACTACTAATAATATTTAATAATAAAATAGATGATTTCAAAAATAATAATAATAATAAAAAAACATTAATATCTATTTAAAAACCAAAAAAATTTACTCGCATTTTATGGCCTTTTAGTGTCATAACAACAAAAAATGATAAAATTTAAGGTTACATTCTTTATGTTAGCTTAATATGCATCACTTTTCTGATGGTTATCAGTATTCATTTCCCTAATCCTTTTTATTTATATCAAAATTATGGAATTCAAAAAAAGAACACATTAATAACAGACATATAGTGTTCATGTTATTTAAAGGACTCTCAATATTAACCCTCCAATCGTTAATAATCTTCATAAATATCTATTTCGAGAATAACCTATTTCATTCTCTGCTATTTAATATGTACGTTGCCATGGCTCCCTTTAGTTTTGAATGGCTACTCTTATCACGAGGCAAAAAATAGTTGTTACTGAAATGATATTAAGACAAAAGGTGTTTTATTTTATCAACAGTTTATCACACATCACTAAAAGTTTCTGTGGTCGCCTGGCGTGTCAGAATGTTGTCAGGTCATGATGTTGGCATGGCTACAGGACTAAAGAATGATGTCAACAATGATGTCACAGACTCCTTTGATGT